ATAATTCCTCAGAAGGTATATTATTTTGTTTCCAACATTGTGCATATACTATCCTTGATGCTGTCAAAATATGTAATAGAATATATCTAATTTTCTTCCTGCACTTCCCCTTGATTATCTCCAACAGAAACAATTCCGGTTTAAATTCTATTTGTTCTTCAACTATCTCTTGGATCCAACTCCTAATTTTCATCCAATATTGTTGGGCATCTGGGCAAGACCACCACACATGATAGAAGGTACCAAGATTTTGTTTGCATTTCTAACATGTAGGATTCATGTTAGGATACATTTTAGCTAATCTCATTAGTGGCAAATGTCATTGATAGAACATCTTGTACATATTTTCTTTATAGGCTACTGATCTTATTAATGTATAATTTTTGTTCCACATTCTTTCCCAATCTGCTAAATCTATATTATGCCCAAATTTTTTTCCCATGCTATCATGCATCCTTTTACTACCTCTTCTTCTAAGGCAATTTTTAACAGATAATTATACATTTTTTCTATAAATTTCTCTTCTGGACCTGTTAAAATTTTATCTAATTATTGCAACTCTGTGTAGATTCCATATTCTTCCATATCTTTTTTATATCTGTTTTGTAATTGTAAATATGGCCACTAATCTATGAATATACCTTGCTCTTTTAATTCCTGATTTGTTTTAGTTTTCCCTGTTCATCTATATCTGAACTTTTTACTCATATCCAATGTATTTTGGGAAATCATCGCCTCCATGGCAGATCCCATCCAGGAAATTTTCACATATGTTGCTGTTAGTACAGTTCTCCCCATCCTATACTAATGACGTTTTTCCCCCTACATTAACTTTTTAATCATTGGGAAGAAACAGAATCCTATGCAAATGTAGGGTTTTGCAATTGTCTCTACTGATACATCTCTTGCTGCTCTCTGCCCAATGTCTCAGCTTGTTAAGCCCTACTAGATCTTGATACTCTCCAATAAAATGTTTGCTATTATGTCTTATTTTACTGCTGTCTGTAAATCTGATAACCATATTTTCTAACCCATCATCCAAATCATTTACAAATATGTTGAATAGCCCAGGGCCAAAACAGAGACCATTGAGATGCCACTCAACACATCTTTACAGGAAGTCATATTTTCTGAATTTTAAGCAATTTTTCCCTTTGGTTTAAGCTGCTGCCTCTTCTGATAGATTGTTTTTTACTATATTGTTAAAAGCCTGCCAGTTCATCTTAATTTGAGGAGCTACTGATAAAACATAGTTGTTAAACCCTCTAATGTGAACAAAAAACAGGTTTTTATCTCTCCCACCCTCTCTTAGCTTCACTGGAATATAAGGCCTCCAAATAATGGTTTAACTTTCAGAGGAGTTGTAAAAATTACTGTACACGCAAAACTGGTTGAACTCTTGATAGGCCAAGCACAATTCTTGTTTCATTACCTATTCTTTTTTATAAATGGTAACAGAGACAAAACCTATTCATTGTAGATCAGCCTCCTTATAGAAACAGCAGTTCCCGGAATCCTTTAATGAAGTGGACTTCTTTACTATTATGAGGAAAAAGAGGTTACAGCAGATTTCAGATTAAGGAAAAGTAAGGGGAAAAAACCCTTCCACTGCCCTCATCAGAAAGTCATCATCCAGAGATATTAATTTGTAAGTGCCAACTGAAGAGAGTGTTCTGAAATTAATGTGTATTTACTTGTATAATTATATGTTGCCTACAATCTTACACCTTTCTACCAATGCCATTAAACTAATGGAAAACATAGCTATAGGAGCACGCCAGGGTTGATAAATGTCAGGCTCAAGTTACATATTCACTGATTTCTTTCACATCAGCGCAACGCACCATCTAATGTGCATTACTCTACTCAGCCTTTTAAATGGGTTATTCCAAACACATTTACTGCAATTTAGTTTAAAAGCAGCTTTGATTATTCATCTAAAAGTAAAATGGTAACCCATACCTTAACTTCTCTGCCATTCGATATGTTAAACAGTCATCATTCCTTAAACCTCCTCTAATAAAGCACACTGTTATTAAAGCACTATAGTATGCCCTCCGGAGCAGAGAAGCTCCATTAAATTTGCTTATGTCTAATTATTGCTGCCCTAGGCAGGTGAGAAATTTAGTCTGATAAGATCTTTCTTTCTACCTGTAGCCAAAAAAGAAAAAAAGAGGCAGCCGTTTTCTATCTAATTGCTATCTACAACTATTTATGGTATTTGTGTTCTGAAGAAAAAAATGTCAGAGAAGGTTCTTTGTGTATCAGTAAGCACATTCTAACTTGTTCCAACCTAGTGAGATACAAAGACAAGTTTATCTTACTTAAGGGATGACACAGGTCACTGGCAAAATAGCCCCTGCAGTCATTTCTTCTGTCACTCAGAATCTGCCTATTTCTCTCCCCTCACTTTAAAAAAAAAAGAAAGAAAAAAGAAAGGTTTTTGGGTTGTATTTATAGTGATAACTTGTATTTTGTAGAATTTGGGCTTAATCGTAAGAACATTCTACAGCCATTAATAGCCAAGCCTGCACTAAGACCCCAACTGATCCACACTGACTACAGTTTGAAAGAGAAAAAATAATTAATTTAAAAATATTTTTAAAGACATTCTTCCCTAGGTGAACAAGTGTTTACAATTAGTAAAATACTAAATACAACAGAAACAACAAAATAAAGAAGCAAGTTTTAGAAAGCAGCAAGAATGCAACAGCACAATTTAATTTTTTAAAATTTTCCAAGCAAAGAAACGTGTTTTGTCTTCACACCAAAGGGTCACCAATTTGGAACTAGCTGCACTTTCCAAGCATATCCCCAAAAATAGTCATAGCTAATTTGGGAAAAATATGTAAAGTTGGGCATGGAAGCCAAAAGGCAAAAGAGTTGTCCCCTTGGACTTGATATGATGTGATCCTACCTAGTTGTGCATACACCAACTTTGTCCTTTACTTGAGGCTTTTAGCTCATCTTCCAAGGCCACATTACATTTGAACATAAAACACTGTTTAGGCAGCAAAAGCAATTTGAATGTAGACTGCAAGTTTCAAAAGGAGATTCAGAAACATAATAAAATATGTACATGATCTCCCACAGAAGTTCCAACACTTTCATAGCTACTTCTGGAACATAAGAAATACCTGTCCACTAGGTGGCCACCATTTCGAGACTCCGATTAAGCCACAGGTCCTCAATCCCTGGGACGTGGCTCAGTACCAGACTGTGGCTATTTAGAATTGGGCCACATAAGTGGCTGACTGGAGTTCATGCATGAATGCGCAACTCAATTTGCACAAGAAGCAGGTACTCGCACACGTGCATGCCAGCCCACCACTTGAGAAGGTTTCTTTCTCCTCCAGTCAGCCCACCAAGCTGCAAAGGTTGGGGACCCCTGAACTAATCAACCATAACCTGATTATACTTTGCAACTATATGCTTAGTTGTATAATGACTCTATTCCAAGATATCTTAAAATAAAATGTTTTCTGTTTCTGAATCCCAGGTTCTTGTCTACTTCACAGACAATAGATTTATTTATTTGGGGGGGGGGGGGGGGGGAGCTAGAATTTGCTGCAGAAAATGATACTTTTAACAAGATACTAAGTCCTGCCAAATGAATTAACTTGTAATTTGTGATTAAAGTTAGATTTTTTTAAAAAAAATCTACTTAGTATAAATGTTAGGAAAGCACTAAATTAATTTGGGAATGGTCTTATTTTATTGTTCTTATCAGAAGTGATATAAAATAAAATGATTCTGAAGAATTATTTTTCCTACCATTGATACTTCCAATAAATGAATTCCTATTTTAAACATGGTAAATTCTTATAAAAACAGTTCACCTCATAGTTTTCTATATGATTTAATTCACACCAAAATTATACTGTGCACTTTATCAGAAATTTTAGTCACTCATGTAGAACAGATTCTTTTCTATTAGATTGGCCATTCTTTGGTCTAATGGCCCACAAACCCCTACTGACCCCCTAAGAAAAACCCTCTTATTATCAAATTTTACATCTAAGATCTCATCTAATAACTTTGTGTGAAATACTATAGAGAGGACTATAATTCTGAAATGATGTATTGGCTATTAATCTATTTCTCATCAGTTTGTGTAGTTAGAGAACCACATACCATTCAGTAAGCCTGAATTTATTAGTACTCTGCTTGGACTGATCTTAGTGGCCAAAGTATTTTCTACAATAGGTCAGTTCAATGTGAAAATCACAATTTTGTCAATGAAAGTCAAAGTGGTGATTCTGAATGCCACTGAAATTTTCTCCTACATACAATTATTCTTTAAATTGCAAAACCCAACTGTCCTTGAATAATATCCCAAGTGGTAAATTAACTTTGCTGAATGCTACAATGGACCCATATACATAAAGAAAGTAACAGAGTAACATATACAACTAAATCTGGGTAGAACAGAATAGCCTGAATACAGAAAGGACAAACCAGGATAGTAATAAATATCTTTTATTTATCATTTAGGAGCAGGCTATCTTAAGATAGAACAGGACTACACCTCTTTGATCATGCAAAATCATTTATTGATTGATATTAGTAAAGTTTTTACTTAATTCTTTTTTTAGAAGCGCCTATGATTTATAGTAATAGTGGTCCAATTTCTAGCATTTGTATAACTCTTATGAGCATAATGGAAATGATTATTCTATAAATGAACATTTCTTGAAAAATATACTCTGCAAATGTAATGAAGAAAGTCAAAATGATTTTTTTTTTACTTTTTTCACTAGCTGGTATTAAAAATATTTGAGCAGATCCATTAATTGTTTAGACATAACATTGTGCAACTGAAATTCCATTCCTCATATAGATATATTTCATAGTTCACTTACTTCTGATGCAGTTTTCTGCCCTTGAGTACATTTTAATTACAAAACAGATTAATGCATTCCTGTGGCTATGTTATGGTATTGATTGCTTATTGACAAAGTAGATTCACCGCAGTTACTAGAGATAGTTTGAATTCTTACCGATAGCTGCTACTTTTATTATTATAGCTTGAACTTTCAAGGATATAATTTCTCTCAGCAATGTGTCTTGATTTTGGCGCCACAGGTATGCTAAAGGCTGCATAGCAAGCCTTTTACAACTGCAAAAAGAAAAGATAGACGTGTCATTATAAGTAAACACAGATCCTTTAACTAGATGTGTCATTATAAGTAAACACAGATCCTTTAACTCTCTAAACAACGTTGCTTAGACAAGTACTATAGGTGTACATTAGAAAATGAGAGCTAAATGCAACATTGATTCCACACATTTCCTCTTGCAATGAAATTTTTCTGCTCCACACCTCCTATCCAATCTGTTGCTCAAGCCCCAATGTGTTCTGGAATATCTCTTCAACATGCATAGCAGATGCAGAGGGAAACCATATAGATATTAAGCATTTCTTCTTGTATCTACAAATGGAATGACATCATGGGATCCCACTTAAATTGTAACTATCCAGTGACATACACTTCATCAATACTTCATCTGAAGAAGATTAATAGGGAGACAATGCCTTCCCTACCTGTTGGAAGAAAGAAAAAAAACTAAGACTCAGCAATTGGTATTCCATTTGGAGAGGCCAAGAGTATCTGAGTTCTTTTACCAGTGGTGTCTTCACACAAAAACAGCCTGCCTAAAATATTAGTTTTTACAAATTGAAAACAGCAAAAGGGGGAGAAAAAAGAAGAGGAAGAGAAGGGGTTGATGAGGGAGTGGGTGGAGTAACAGCAGTAGCAACATGACTGGATTGTGAGAATGGCAACGCTAATTGAAAGAGTAATCGGAAGCAAAGCAACAGTCAGTCAAATCAAATGGAGAGTTTCAGAGGAAAATAACAACAAAAGGAGTCAGGCAAAGCTCTGAGAACATGCACTTTAGAATGAAAGTGCACATTCAACCAGATACTTCTGCATCTAGAAATCTGGTTGTAATTCTTTCCTTCTTTAAAAGATAGACTTTATCCTTTCTCTTCCCTGTAGCCCCATATTTCGCTATACTGACAAAAAAAAAAGCCTTTGGCAAGCTCTTTCCTTGCTACCTAACCTCAGTGGAGTGAGGAGAAATATATTTATTTGGGAATTTAGCCAAATGCCCTCTGGGATTTCTTTTCTAGAGGTAAAGATTCTAGGCAAATGTTATGTGCATTCTGACTGACATGAGCCTCTAGAGGTTTATTTGGCTAGGAGTGCTCATTACACATTTGATTAATTCAAGCAATGCTGCCTCGGTAATATGTAATAAGGTTAACTACCTGGAATTTGGAGTATAAATGGCTAGCCATTGATTTTTTAAAATAAACTTTATTTGCTACATTTTGTGTTGTCCTGAAAGTTACAGGCATATGTAACAATTCTAAGGTAAGCAGAAAAATCAGTTTGCACCATTCCAAAAAATTGATTATGCTCAGTTTTCATAATAAAGTATAGTATCTGTAGTTCACTTGAATAAGCATACATTATTCTATACCAGGTTGTGTCAAACTCGATTTCATTAAGGCCCACATCTGGGTTCTGTTTGACCTTGGGAGGGAGGATGGGTGTGGCCGGGGGGGGGGGCATGGCCAGCTTGACATCACTCATGTTGGGGGCACCCCTCCCAGGCTCTGTTTTCGGCTGTGACAACTTCCTGCAATGCTCTGCCAGAGAAAACGGAGCTCGGGAGGGCCTCCATATTCACTGGCAGAGTGTTGCAGGAGGCTATTGTAGCTGAAAACAGAGTTTGAGAGGGGTGCTAGTGATGTCAAGCTAGCACGAGTGACATTGATCTGGCAGAGGCACTGAGGACCGATCCTTCGCTGTTTCCAGTGTGGGCCTGTGGGCCAGATCTAAGCACCCTGTGGGCTTTGAGTTTGACACCCCTGTTCTGTACTATTCTATCACCTTCATTTTCCACAAACTTGTAAATTGGCTAGATTAGTTTTGTTTTTTTTAACATACTGAGGACATCCACACATCAGATAAAACAGAGATATTCTTATATATTTTATATGCTTAACTGGAATACCAAAGAAATATCAGAATGTCACGCAATTAGTTCCAACTGTCTAAAATAAAATCAACAAGACAAAAAACATTGAAGCATCTCAGTACCAAGTCAAAAGTTGATAATTAGATCTTAAAATAATAGTGTAAGAGGATAAGTTTCAAATGCTCAAATCAAAAAGGTTTCTCCAAATAAATATTTTTCAAGCAGTTCACATGCATGCAAAGTATCACCAAAAGAAAGTATCATTTGGGAACCACTATAGCAACACTATTTATGCAAGTTTAACTTAAACATTGAAGTTGCCAACACTAGAAACTTTGATGTATTCCTAAGCATTTGTTCTTTCATTTCTATTGGTGGAAAGTTACTGTGAAAAAATAACTTATTTGGGAAATGGAAACCCGTGGTGAACACCCATCAGTGTGCTTTCAGTAATGTACTATGATTGAAGCTTTGATTATCTAAGGTGCATCTTCAATTGAAACACATTGCTGAAAGCAGGTTGCTTTTGGTAATGACTATGCTGACATGAGTATTGTTTATTGCTGGGCCAAACTGTAATGATGAACCAAGAAGAACTGATCAAACAGGATAATGTGTGATAACAAGAACACATGAGAAAGGTTGATGAACTGATTAAGGACAATTGACAGACCACTCAGTTAAATTTCTATGAACAGTTCTTCAGAAGTTTTGTGCAGGATGGCTTCCACCCAAGCTCACAATACAAATTAAAGCTTCAAGAGTTGAAATTTGCAACAATTCTTGTCATAATACAAGAATGAATTTTTTACAGCATCATAATAACTGCTGAAATATGTGCTCATCATAGTGACACAGAAGTATAGTGTCATTCCATGGAATGGAATATAATAGCAAAACTAAATAAATTTAAAACTCAGGCTTTGTCAAGAAAATTCATAATACAGATCATGTTACAGGTAGTCCTCGGCTTATAACAGTTCATTTAGTGACTGTTCAAAGTTACAAGGCTCTGAAAAAAAGTGACTTATGACCATTTTTCATTCTTACCACCATTGCAGCATCCTTAATGGTCACATGATTAAAATTCAGATGCTTAACATGATCAAAATTCAGATGCTTGGTTCATATTTATGACGGCTATAGTGTCCTAGGGTCATGTGATCAGTTTTTGCTAGCTTCTGACAAGTCAATGGGGAAGCCAGATTCATTTAACAACCATGTATACTAACTTAACAAATGCAATGATTCACTTAACAACTGTGGCAAGAAAAGACATAAAATGGGGCAAACTCACTTAACAAATGTTTCACTTAGCAACATAAATTTTGGGCTCAATTTGTGGTCATAACTTGTGGACTACCTATATTCACATGGATCTTCTTAAACCATGTACCACGAACTCAACTTTGTATTATAACACTCAAAACTCTGAGTCTGAAAGCAATGACGGAGTAGAGTTTGGAACCACTAGAAAGAAATTTTCCTGCAATACAACAATATTAGGCTTCACAATTTACAAGCTAGCCGAATGGCAGTTGCAAAATATGTAGCAAACGGAGATGATTATGTGAAGTAAATACAGGTGACGATAGATTACAAAATGATTATTTTTGTATTTCTTTTATCAAAATACCCTTATGTAAGTTATAGAAGTAAATGTATTAGTTTTCTTTCAGCTCTTATACGTTTAGATAAATCACTGCAAGGTTTAACAGGAAAGGATGGGCTTCAGTTCATGAAATCTATATTGTTAGAAGACAATAAAGCCCATATAAGATAGAAAATATATAGCTTATCTTCCCTTTCTTGATAGGATCCCCATTTTTAAGAGTTCAGACTGATTTGATAATTATATGTTTAGCACCATGCAGACATTTAATGAAACGTTATTACTATGCCATCTTATTTGACATAAAAGCAATAACATTTCTGATCTAGCCCACACCACTGAAATCAATAGCTCTGTGGCCATGTATGGCATGTTGCCTTACACTGTAAGCAACATCTTATCTTACTTACACATTTTCCACACGGACTCGTTGATAATCTGACAGAATGGCCCCTACTGAAACAGCTTCCACCTCTTCTTTATCCTGCAAAATATGCATATATAAAAACAAATTTAAAATAAATCTGCAAAACAGTTGCAAAAATTACTTCAGTGCATAAATCAGTAGCCATTAACAAGAGAGCTCTTTGATTTCACTTAAGTGGTTTATACTATATTTATAAAAATACTAATTTCTTTGGATCTGAATAATATTTTACATAGTAACTTGCAGTTTTACTAAGTTACACACTATATGGAATAATTTGAGAATTACAGTATGCCTATTGGAAATTCTATTTTATGTAAGCAACGTGCTATTGATATATATTTTTAATAGATTATTCTAGATCTAAGATTTTCAAAATTTGTTGTATATAATCTAACAACAGCTTTATAAAAATACCTGAACTGACATTATTTCACTTATAAAGCTGTTGCAAAGGGGTTCAGCAAATAACCCTGTATAATTGTAGTTTGTGACTTGATTAGTAACTTCATTTTGTTCTTATAAGAAATCTCAAGCAAAAGTAGAGGGGATCCTCATTTAACAATACACTGTGTGTCTGTTTGAATTTACAAATGGTCATTCTGACTTCTCCTTGTACTTAGAGCCATTGTAGCATCCCACAGGCAAACAACTGCGAACTGCAATCTTTCCTGCCAACTTCCAATGACCAAAGTCAGTGGGGAAGCCAGCAGGAATTCGGAAGTTGTACTCATGTGAGGCCCTTCTTAATAACCTCACTTAACGAAAGCAACAGAGATTGCTGGACCTGTTGCCAATAAGTGGTATGTCATGTGGCTTTTTGATTAGCGAAGACTACTTGTAATGAGAAGTGAGCCTCAAATGAATGCAGTCTTCCACTGCAACCTTCCACTGCTTATTTCTAAAAAGTGCTACTTGCTTTTCTGAACTATAGGAACAAGTGTATGATGCTATTGCCATATTCTGGAAAAATCTCTTCCTTCTCATTATTGCTGTAAAATGTGAACTCATATCAGTTCAATAAAGTGTGCAAAACTAATATACTAGAGTTACAGCTTTAATGCAAAAGAAATGTTAAAAATTGTACAATTAATCATTCTGTTATTAGCACCAGGACAAATATAATCAAAGCATGAGATTAATTTCCCATTCAATCAAAAAGCAACATTGGTACTCAAAGATTAGAAAATAATGCCAGCAAGATATGGAAACCATACAAAGATGAATAAAAGTATTCATAGAATTAAACAACCAGTATATGCAGTCATTAACAAAACAGAGCAACAGGGAATTTGGGAAGGACTCAGATGTAATTTACCCTGTATATAGTCAAGCTATGGAACTTGCCACCACAAAAATAGTGATAATTATCAGCAGGTTTAAAAGTGGATTATACACATTCAGAGAGATTATGCTACTAATGGCTATTAATCATATTAGTACCTGGGGAACTGCTCTATCTTAGCTATAAGCTTCCCATAAATATCTATTATAACACTTTAAAAGCAGAATTCAGGGCTACATAAGTATATTAACTGATTCAGCAGGATTTTCCCATTATTATATTTCAACTATATAAAACCTCATTAGAGTAAATATTACGGGAGGTATGTATATTTTACATTAAGTAATTTGTAACCTTCAAATCTCCCTCCACCCCTTTTACAATCTGATAAGTAGGGAGGATCCTTTCTGAGTTTCTTTCTCTGCTCATTATTTAGCTGTGGGTTATGTCCTCTCTTAACATGACCATTGTAAGAGAGGGCATATGCACCAAGACAAATTCCTTGTGTGTCTAATCACACTTGGCCAACATAGCATTCATTCATTCATTCCTGCAGACTCATACTTGACACAGATAAGGAATACTGTGAAAAAAAGCAACCCACAAGTGCAGCTGTCTTGGAACTACGAAAATGCATGTCATATTGTCCTTTATCAGCTATGAAACAATTGAAATATTAGATATAATGCAAGGCCAGCACAAGGGAAGATGCATAATTATGTGTGATTTCCTTAGAGAAATGAAGCCACTTACTATAGTCAAACAATTTTCTAATTAAAAGCAAATTTAAAGGAAGAATGTCTCTGAGGATATAAATATCAGGGATGTGCTTCTGTGGCTATCCAGTAGAAATGTTTTCAGCACATAGTCTCACATTCTTTGTTGTGAGATAATCCTTGAAACAGTTATGCAAAGCTTTTGGGAGAACATTCTATCTTAGAACAGTTTGAAGGGGGATTTTGGTCCATTATGACGCCCACTTCCATATGGTTCATATCACATCAATGCTAACTTTTCTCACTCTTAAAAGATACTCAATATATGACATACATAATGTTATGGGCTCTACAGTCTATATAAACCTATGATCACCCAACTCCAAAATGTGATATTCTTTCTGCTTAAAAAAAAAAAGACATTATAACTTAACAGTATCATAAAAGATTTTTATTTCATGATATGGAGGCAGAAAATCTACAGGTACTTAAACTGATAAGTACTATTGATGAAAGTCAATAATCACAACAAATACAACAAGATTAATTTGTTATTGTATTTAAAAAATGAAGGTGATTTTAGGCACTAAAATCTGCAGCACTTGGGAGAAAAAAATGGAATGACAACTAAACATAATCTGAACACATCATCTGTTGATTATTGTAGGTTTCAAAAGTACAGGGTTAATATTCAGCAAGAAACCCCTTTTAACCCCTTTTTTTAATAAAGGAAGTGAATACTTCCTTTAGAAAGGAAGTATTCATTTTACAATGTGATCAAATAAAGAACAGATAGTCCTCAACTTACAACAGTTCGTTTAATTACCATTCAAAGTTACAATGGCTCTGAAAAATGTGACTTATGACCGTTTTTCACAGTTACGACCTTTGCAGCATTGCCAGGGTCACACAAACATAATTCAGACGCTTGGCAACTAACTCATAATATGGCAGTTGCCGTGTCCCAGGGTCAGGTGATCCTCTTTTGCAACCATCTGACAAGCAAAATCAACTGGCAAGCCAGATTTGCTTAACAACTATGTTACTGATTTAACAACTGCAGTGATTCAACTAACAACTGTGGCAAAAAAGGTCATAAAATGGGACAAAATTCACTTAACGAATGTGAAATTAACTTAACAAAATTTATCTAGAAACAGAAATGTTGGGCTCAATTGTGATGGTAATTCGAGGACTACCTGCATTACAGATTAATTTATTTTAATCTGATGATATTTATTCCTGCCACGAGGGAATACATTCTCAAGTTCTGAACTTTCTCTGTGTCCCGCTTTCCTAAGACAGGATGAAAAGTAAGGACAAGGGTGAATTCTGTCTCTTCAAATGTACATTAATGACAAATGAAATTCTCATTAACCAAGAACAAAAAGCCTCCAGCTATATTGATTTCAGAGAAAGTCTGCGGTGTGTACAACAATGAGAGGGACTGCTTCAGGTACCTAGAACTTTACTTAACAAGTGCCTTTGCCTTCTAGCCTTGGTAAGAAAGAAAACGCTTAGAGTGCAGGAGAATTCCCAAGTCACTAGAAGACTCAGGTATCAGGAAGCCTGTCCCTAGAGGGGAAAGAAAAAGCAAGAAGAAATGTAGGAAAGACCCACAAGAAAACAAAAAAAAATTGCTGTAGGGAGACTTGGCTCTTGAAGAGGCAGAAATGGAGATTAAGAATGGCAGCACAATCAAATGGGCTTTGACAAATGCAACATAATGAGCCACCAAAACTCTCATATTAATCGCGTAGCATGGGCAACAGTATTTTGATGGAGAATTCACTAATAGGAATCTTTCAAAGAATCTTTCTTCAACTATCGTTGAAATATCAAGAAATAAAATCCTTCTTCCTGTTTTATTCAAAGGTGAAATATATGGCATCCATACTAAATATAATACACATTGAACACCACAAATCATAGTAATTCTTGAACACCAGATAAAGCAACCTTCTTTAAAACTGCATTTTGAAAAATATGTGAAACAATCTGTGGTATTTCTTGAATTTTGCTTCCTCCAATTTTGCATCCAGTGTTCTTCATTTTTGTTTTGTTTTGTTTTAACGTGATTTTTATACCACCTCAAATGCATTGGACATTACCGAAGCAGCTGTCACACAGGAGCTACAATGATATATAACTGCATAATTTGTTGATGTCATGTGATGTCACTAACCTCTCTTTGTCTCCCTGTGGATGCTTACAATCACATATCCTTTGTATTGTTTTCTGCTATAAAGATCTGAGTTCTCAGAAAGTGATTTTCTGTAGGTAAGATTGGAGAGTGTGCATTACAGTCCAAAGGGATGGTTTTTTGCTTGTGTCTTCTTCTAATTACAGGTCCTTATATTCCCTTCAAAGCTGTCCTTAAAGACTGAAGAACTATTGTGGGTGAGCTTCAATATGCAAATAGTAACATATTTAGAATGAGAAGCCTATAGTTTCTACAGAGTCCAGGAAAGGTATCATATAATAATTAAGAATAGATGGAACAAATGTTTTACCTGCTGTATTGTGATTTATTTGATGTCGTCTTTTATTAGGGCACTTGTATGAGAAGCAATATATCAAATGTTAAAAGTTGTAACTATCACTTAAACTCACATTTGTGTAAGATTCACTGTGAAAAATTAAAAGTGAAAGATAGATACTAGATCAACTACAAAGAATCCTGTGAAATCTAGATGAACAAATTAATCTTTGATTTATGATGTATGCGAGAAATAAACACATATATACAGTACCTCAGAGCCACCATCTTGTTGAATTGGGCCTACAAGCCTCATGGTAGCCAGTACAGCAATCTCAGGTCCAGGGTAACTGCAAATAATGGGTTTCCCCAACTGTCAGTCTGGCTGCTTATTTGGCACCAGCTTGCAAAATATACTTCAAAAATACTTCGCTCTTCACTGGTCTTTTCTGATGTCAAAAAACTAATTTGACAGATTTGGTTAGTTAGACTTGAATGGGAGCTCAACAAGGAATACTACACCAAAAAGTTAAAGAAAAAAGAATGACAGCAAGAGTAAAATACTTCCTTTTGTTGC